TGTATTTTGAGAGAATTGAGTGGGTCTACTGAACCTCTCTCACAGCATGAACGACATCTATTGAAGCACTTTTTTCAGAGACAACTTTTTAGTCTTTACCTAATTTGTCTATGGTTAAACCAATGGCTGAATACTCCAAAGTAAAACTATCAATTTTTAAACCTTTAAAAATAAATTTATATTAAATTAAGCTTTACCAATTTCAATATCGACTTTCTTAACACATAATAACTTGCTATTAAAATTGACAAAACTCACATTATTTACTGGATGGAATTTATTATACTTTTTTCAACCAAAATTTATATATATTTTTTATTTATTTATTATTATTATTATTTTTTTTTTTACATCAAACAAAGTCTCAGTAAACTAAGAATTTGTCACCTCTATTTAGGTTTCACAATATGCTGGATTTTGCCCGTAAAAATTGGAAAACATGAAATTTGTAGCACAGTGTTATTTTCCATATTATCTATAATTTTCCAAAGACAGCTAATTGTAATAATGTAATTCGAATAGCCTACAGTCTCGTTTATTAGATCTATAATGGCAACTTGGTAACTCGGAATATGGTTGTATATATATAAATGTTTGCGTGCCCAAGGCTTTAATACACCCTCCAGAATATTTTCGCGATAATATTCGACATTTATTCTGATGCCACGGTCGATTAATACGAGCGGAGAGCGACCATCGGCTGTTATGGCGACACACACTTGCACTTTTTATACCCTCCACCAAAAACAGTATGAAGGGCATATTAAGTTCGTCATTCCGTTTGTAACTCATCGAAATAATCATTTTAGACCCAACAAAGTATATATATTCTTGATCAGCGTAAAATTCTAAGACGATTTAGCCCTGTCCGTCTGATGTAATCACGCTACAGTCTAAACGAATTAAGATAGGAAGCTAAAATTTTGCACAGATCTCTCTTTTGTCTGCAGGCAGGTCAAGTTCGAAGATGGGGTATATTGGTCCACGATATCGTATAGCCCCCATATAACGGTACCCCCGATATTTGGTATTTTGATGATTTTATCCACATTTTTCAATGGAATTGTCTGAAATTCCACAAAAGGAGTCCCTTGTGGGCATTTTACCCCCTCAAAAAGAATTGTCTATATAGGTCCACGATATCGTATATCCCCCATATAACTGTACCCCCCGATATTCTGTATTTTGATGATGTTAGCCACACTTTTCAATGGAATTGTCTTAAAATCCACACAAGTAGTTCCTTGTGAGTACTTCACCCCCTGAGAGAGAATTGTCTATACAGGTCCACGATATCGTGTATCCCCCATATAACGGTACCCCCCGATATTCGATATTTTTATGATTTTACCCACATTTTTTATCGGAATTGTCTAAAAATCCACACAAGGAGTTCCTTGTGGGTACTTTATACCTCTACAGAGAAGTATCTATATAGGTCCACGATATCGTGTAGTCCTTATATAACGGTACTCCCGATATTCGGTATTTTGATGTTTTTAGCCATATTTTTCAACGGAATGGTCACAAGGGGTTCTTTGTACACAAGGGGTTCTTTGCGAGCACTTTACCCCCCAACAGAGAATTCTCTATATAGGTTAACGATAACGTATAGCCCCCATATAACGGTACCCCGCGATATTCGGTATTTTGATGATTTTAGCCACATTTTCCAATCGTATTGTCTGAAAATCCACACACGGAGTTCTTTGTGAGCACCCCTGAAAGGGAATTGTCTATATAGGTCCACAATATCGTACATCCCCCATATGACGGTACTCATCTATATTCGGTATTTTGATCATTTTACCCATATTTTTCAACGGAATTGTCTGATAATCCACACAAGGAGTTCTTTGTGAGCACTTTACCCCCTGACATAGAGTTCTCTATATAGGTTAACGATATCGTATAGCCCCCATATAACGGTACCCCCGTTATTCGGTATTTTGATGATTTTAGCTATATATTCCAATGGTATTCTCTGAAAATCCCCGCAAGGATTTCGTTGTGAGCACTTTAACCCCTGAAAGGTATTTCCCAATTGTATTCTCTGAAAATCCACACAAGAATTTCCTTGTGAGTACTTTACCCCCAAACATAGATTTGTCTATATAGGTCCACAATAGCGTATATCCCCCCATATATCGGCACCTTCCAATATTAGGTATTTTAAAGATTTTTACAGAATTTTCAATGGATTTTATTTTTTTTTTAATATTTTCTATTTCGTTCCAAATGGTGGAGGATATTCAAAGTTCGGCCCGGTCGAACTTACTAATTTTTTACTTGTTGGAATTTCAATGGCTTTACCCCGAGCTCATTTTTTAATATTTGCCGAATTGAATATTGCGATATGTTCAGCTTACGAGCCATTTTTCGGCCACTGTGACCCGGGTTTCGATCAAGTCGCTTCTTTATTTTTCGAACCATTTCTGACGATGTTGCTGTTTTCTACCGTCCACTTCCTTGACGTCGGGCTACGCTTCCAGTATCACGGTTACGAGCGATGGTACGAGACACTAAAGATTTACTCACATTTAAATGCTGGAGTACTCTAACGATAGCCACTTGTGGTTTTCCAGCCAAATATAAAGAAATCACACTATCACGCTTGAATTCCATCACGAATAATTTTTTTTCCTGAAAATTTTCAACCAAAATGCTTTTGTACGCTTGTAAACAATATCACTGGAATAATTTTAACAGCTGTCGGACGAGTGGCTTAGAAATGACTGCAGTCTGAAGTTGGTTGCAGTTTCTTCATCTCTCTCTGATCAGCATTAAATTCTGCGTCGATTTTACGATTTCCGTCTGTGTGTTGAAATCAGGACACTGTTCAGACGTAGAAATTTGGCACATTAGTTCGTATTGTGTCTCGTATAGTTGGTATTGAAAAGGAAGTATATTGGCCAACGTTTACATTACATTGCAGCGCCCATATAACGGTGCCTCCCGATATTCAGTGATTTGATGATTTTTCCAAGGAATTGTTCCAAATTTGTTCCAAATTAGTAGTTTGTAACGGGTTCTACCACGGGTGGCAGAACACGTTTTCCAATAACCCCTATATAACGGTACCCTTAGAAATTCGGTATTACTACGATTCGGTATTTGTAGTTGATCCAATTTTGTACATTTAACGATACCGACCAATATTCGCTTTTTTGAAGATTAGAAACAATTTTACCCGTGGAATTGTGTCAAATTTGGTATTTTAGATTCGCAGATAAGAATACTTTTCTTATTCTATCATCCACTTTCTTTGCAACTGTCTGGAAGCCTTCCTCACATACGCAAACTTCGTAAAAGTATAAACAGTAACAGACCTATTTTAAAAACAGCATTTGAATAAGCGTCCGTTTTGTATGCGAGTAAGTAGAATTCGATACTTTTGTTGTTGCAAAATGGTCAGGCCTTATCCCTTTATTGTTGTTTTTATAAAAACAACGTTTGTTGTCGATACAAAATTTAAAAATTTTCCAAAAAATACCCTCATTTGCAAGTCACTCCACGTTGGCTACCAACAATATTTATGTGTGGCAAAGATATAGTGTGGGAGAGGGGGGTTATTGGGCTCAGTGAGCGCGTGAACGAAACAGAGAGATAGTTTGGCAAAGAGAGAAAAGAAATAAAACCTAATCCTCAAGGGAACTCCCCTGGGATTGGCTGTATGTTCCCAGGAGAAATAACGAACGATGGGTTTTCTATGTTATTTTGTTATTGTTGATGTTGTTGCCAATGCCGTTGGTTTCGTTGTCGTGCGGCATTAAGACCGAACATTGTGCCGATGATGAACTGAAACTGAACAGAGCAAAACAGCAGAGGACGGTATGTAATAATGTTGGATTGCGTTGCGCAAACTAAGGCAGTCCGATGCTGAGTCCTACGTATATGTGAATGTTCAGGGTCCTACGGAGAAGGAGAGAGAGAGAGGCAGTTGGGGGGGCGGGAGGTGAGGGCGATGGATTTTTTACACTGATGTTTTGGTTGTGTTGGGCTGATGTTGCCTCCGCTCTGTTGCTTGGGGAACCATACTCTCATTCCATGTGGGATTTGTTTCCACAATAAAGGTTCCTTTTTGTTTTGTGTTTCAAACAGGGATTTTGGGATGTGTAGGCAACAACAACAACATCAACAACAGTAGCAGTAGCAGCAGCAAAGATGACAATAATAACAACAACGAAAACAACTTGCTGTTACAGCAAAATCCAAGTAAACCGTCTATGTGTTTGTATTTGTATGTGTGTGTGGGTGTGTGTGGGTGTAATTGCACAATGCAAAAAGGTTGTTCGTTACTAAAATCTATTCGTTGCTGTTGTTGTTGCCGCTGTATATGAAACATTTTATGTCACTTAGGGGTATCACAGTCAGTTGATGCAGCAACAAAATTCGAAAACGATTTAAAAATTCATTCATACCTAAAAACTAACACGTGCATGATATACGACAGCCACCTACTACAACAGCAACAACAACAACGAGAAGAGTTGCAGCAACAGCATTGCCTGGTGGCTCCGATGGCGGGGAAACAGCGAGCGGCACTGCGGACAGAGACAGAAAGTTTGATTACACATGACACTGCACAGAACAGCAGGCAGCCAGTCAGACAGCCAACAAAGCCAAACCCCCATCGATACGTCAGTCTCCAAGGTGTATACTCTTGACACTTGCCAAAGTGTATGATTGGCATTGCAATTTCTGCTCTCGGTTCAAATACGAGTGAGTATACAATATTTGTTGTGCGGATGTTTGAATGGAGCCATGGAGCGATGGATGGGACGGATTGGATTGGAATGGGATGGGATGGATAGTTCCATCAATCATGTACGGGTACAGGCAAAGACACACTCGCACTTGTTCTATAATAGATATTTCACACAAATTATACTTATACCTGCAGACACACGCAAAAACACCCGTTCTGCTCCGCTCCGCTCACACACTAGAGCACACATAAATATGCATACTACTATTTCATTGACATTGAACACACTTACATTTAAGAAAAGCCCGTGGTTTTAACTGTTTGCGGCGAGACATGTTATTTACAATGTTTTTCGTTTTTGCTCCTTGCTACTGGTGTTATTGTTGCAGCTTAAAGTAAATCCAATGGGGAATAGTTAAAGTCGTTGTAAATTCCAAAATTTGTGCCGAAAATGTTTGCACAAACACACACACACACGCGCGCCTACATCAATAAATCATACGCTCACTCTGCGACACTTCGCCATGCATATCAACAAGGTTAGTATGTCGTTATGTAGATATCTTCTATTTGCATTTGGAGTTCGAACATTTGGTTGGAAAAACTTCACAAATCACGTTATCGCATGGCCAGCCACTCATGGCTTTTCATAACACTTTTCGTAATTATCAGACGCGCGCGCTTTCAACAAACTTCCGTCACTAAATGATTTCCACGCTCAAATCGTACGTATGTGCTTATCCTTGCGACAACATTGGCGGAATGTCTTCAAGTGGCCGGAAACACAAATTTCCAAACATCAAACCCACCGGTTGGCAAATTGCGCTCATATACTACTCTTAAGCTAGTACAAACCATTCTCTTACATCACTCAATTCAAGAGAGGCAATACTGCTGTCCTGCCGTTTTGTTCATTTGTGTAGTTAAGAGCGAGAGACAGAGAGTTCGCCAGAGCACCCATTCTAACGTTGGAATGTGTATGCGTGTGTGTGTGTGTGTGTTTATAAACAAACCACACACCAATATCAAAAACCGGCACTCCGGCAAGAAACTCCCAAGAGGGTTGGATTTCCTGTGCGTATGTGTGCGTGCTGTTGTTCCTGTAGCTGTAACCAAAAATACACTCAACATTGCCAAAACCTATGACAATTTAAAAGCAATGTAGCCTTGTTGTAGTCCGAATAAAGGAGATTGAAAGGACGGGAAACGTGTATTTGGCGTTGACATTAACACATTTGCAATATTCGATCGAAGGAAATCATCCCCGTTTTCCTTGGAGTTTTACGCACCATGTCAATTACATTTCGTTGCATGCACACGCACGCACACACACATACATGCTGCACCAATCACTGCACGGGGTGCTTTCGTAGCCGCTGTTGGCTCTTTAAGTTGGTGGCAAGAGCTTCTTGTTAGGATCCTCCTGCTGTTAGCGGACACTATAGGGTGCTTTTGCATGTCTTCCTCTTTCTTGGCTCTGCCACTGTTTCGTCTATTGTTGACGAGCAATTATGAAGTCATCAGCGACCTAACATTGCGGCCGGCGAGTACTTTCGCACGTGTGTATGGGGGGTCTGGTGTGCTGCCTCTTGTCGTATCTTGTCGGCATCGACTTTTGCCAATGGCCAAGGAGTCAAACTTTTTCAAACAATGACAAAGGGATTAGTTTTGATGAATTCTCATCAGCGGGATTTTTCATGTTCCGTTGTGTAATTGAGGGAAATAATGTATGTGTGTCATAATTGCATGCGGATCAAATTGCTGTGACTGCCGTTAGACGTGAGAACTTTTGTTTTGATGTTTAAGACTCCAGATAGAGACCAACAGATTTTACGCTCATTTTGCAACTCAAATTTTCAATCAAAAAATTAATAGATTCTGCTTTTAATCTAGCTGTCTCCTTATTAGCAATTTTAAATTGTCTAAAAACATTGTTTGCGTTTCAATATTTTAAAAATAAACTCAACTAGTGTGATGATTAGGAATTCCTTAGTTTCCGATCTAGCCACAGATCCAAATCATGTGTTGTGCTTGAAATAGAGGCTATCAACACGATGTAGCCTATAGTACCTAACCTTCTCAGTTTATTAATTTTGATATTAAATTTCCAAATTTTGAGATTTAAACAAGTAAAAAAGTTGTAAGTTCGGCCGGGCCGAACTTTGAATACCCTACACCATTTGGGACAAATTTGACAATTCTCAAAAACAATAAAATCCGTTAAAACTTCTGTTAAAATCTTAAAAATACCGAATGTAGCTATTATATTAGGGTCTATCAAAAAAATGAAACAATTCTGGTGAAAAATGTCCATAAAATCATTAAAATGCCGAATATCGGGAGGTACCGTTATATGGGGGCTTTACGAAGAGGTGGACCTGCACAGACAATTTTCTGTTTAGGGCTGTAGTATCCATTACGAACTTTAAATACCAAATTTGAAACAATTCCGGTGAAGAAATTCGCTAAAATCATCAAAACAGCGAATATCGGGAGGTACCGTTATACGGGGGCTCTACGAAGACGTGGAACTGCACAGAAAATTTTCCGTTTTAGACTGTAGTATCCATTATGAACTTCAAATACCAAATTTGAAACATTTCCGGTGAAGAAATTCGCTAAAATCATCAAAATACCGAATATCGGGAGGTACAGTTATATGGAGGCTATACCAAGACGTGGACCTACATGGCCCATTTTCAATACCAAAAGTCCAGCAGACATAACATACATTTGAGCAAAATTTTATTATTCTGATCGTTCGGAAACCAGAGTGATTTCCACAGACGGATAGACGGACGGACATCGCTAAATTGACAGAGAATTTTATGCTGATCAAAAACATATATACTTTGTGGGGTCTAAAATGTGCATTTCGAGGTGTTACGAACGGAATGACAAACTTAATATACCCTCCATACTATGGTGGAGGGTATAAAAAAATCAGTACTAGCACCTGATCAAAGATTGAAGCAAATATAACGATGTGAGAGATCGTAAACTCCGTTTCTCTTACATGAGATGTTTGACTTTTTTTAATTTGGAACCACCAAGAACTACCACACCGATGTAACACATGTTTTAATTTCAAATTTTATTAAAATTTAGATTTTGCAAAATATTGTGTCACTTTCATATGGGGCTTCTATGACATGTTTTCCTAATTAAAATAACAGGTCATTAGCCTCTTTAAAAGTAATTGTTTCGTCATACTTGGTGTCGTTTTATACATGTCGGTCCATTTGGCGTAATTAAACTTAGATGAAATCCGGGGATAAAAAATATCATCCACTCCTTCTGGTAGCTCATATTATGCGAAGGGGGTATCCGATATTCTTAACACTCGTAATCTTGATATCAGTCTTAGGTCCATAGCCAATATTGACAGTATTGACCTCCGACGTAGCCAGAAATACATTTTAAACCCATTTCAGGCAACCATTCATAAATTAACTTCTTTGACGGATATCCCAGATCATATTAATGAAGGTCATGCCAATTATACGATTTGCGATTATCGGTCAAATTATATATTTAGATAAGGGGGATTGTGTTCTTTGCCAGAAATATCTAATTTGCAGTTAAAAATTGTCTAACGAATGCAACCTGTTAAATTCTTTAATGTATACAGAGTGAGATGAAAAAACTGCAAATAACTTCAAACTGATATGTCATTTCTAGGCCACTCGTCCGACAGCTGTTAAAACTATTCCAGAGACAGCTCATTATATTGTTTACAAGCGTACAAAAACATTTCGGTGAGAATTTTCCAGAAAAAAAAGTTATTCGTGATGGAATTCAAGCGTCATAGTGTGATTTCTTTTAATTTGGCTGGAAAACCACAAGTGGCTATTGCTAGAGCACTCCAGCATTTAAATGCGAATAAATCTTTTGTGTCTCGTACCATTGCTCGTTACCGTGATACGGGTAGCGTAGCCCGACGTCAAGGAAGTGAACGGAAGAAAACCGCAACATCAGCAGAAATGGTTCGAAAAGTAAAGAAGTGACTTGATCGAAACCTGGGTCGCAGTGGCCGAAAAATGGCTCGTGAGCTGAACATATCGCAATATTCCTTTCGGCAAATATTGAAAAATGAACTCGGGGTAAAGCCATTGAAATTCCAAAAAGTACAAGAACTTACACCGCAACAGAAAAAATAGACTCAAAAAAGCCAGAGTTGCTTCGCTTGGCCGAAAGTGGTGTCGATCACCTCAAGCAAGCGCTTCGCCGGAAATGGGCCAAAATACCGCATACCAACATTCGGACAGCGTGTGGCGACTTCAAGGCCATAATTCGTGCCAAAGGTGACCAATTCGAACAAATCTAAAATTATTCTAAATTTGATGCTATTCCCGACATTTTTTGCTTTCATCAATAAAATTTAAAAACAATGTAAAAATTATAGCGTTTAACTTTGTTGCAGTTTTTTATCTCACCCTGTGTGAAATGTGCAGGACCGAAATATTTAATAAAAACATTTTTATGAACAATGATTTATATTTAGAGTTCAAATTGAAAAAAATAAATATTCACCTCAATAACCAATAAGTATCTAATTATTAAGCGCCTGCCTCTGTATGACGATACAACGGTGAATGTGAGTAAAAAATACCATTCCAATATTAATTTTTAATTTTTGGTTTTAATTAAAAAAAAAAAAACAAAAAATCATATGGAATAAATTAATATATTTTTTTACAGATGAGTCGATATAAAAGTGAATTTGAAACAAGTAAAAAACAGTAAGGTCGGCCCTCCACCATTTCGAAGGAATTTGCAAATTTTCAAAAAAAAAAAAAAAAAAAACAGTAAAGAAAGTCTTAAAGTCGGGCGGGGCCGACTTTATGATACCCTACACCACTTTGCTAATTTAGTAGAGCTCCGCATAACAATTAAAAGTTTTTATGGGAGAATTCAATCATACACGCTATGATTATAATTATAATATAAAGTTCAAAGGACTAAATATGCCGAAGCATTTGTATCTTTTAAATTCGGACTTGTTTTGGCCATTTGGTGCACAATTAATTTGAAATCGGATAAAAATATATATGGGAGCCAAATCGGAACCGATTTCAATAAAATTTGGCAAAGATATTTCTGAGCTGTATTTGATATATTTCCCTAGATATCGTTGTTACGGAATGCATATTACGGTGTAGGAAACAAATATAACAAATCGGATGAACAGTATATATGGGAGCTATAACTATATCTGAACCGATCTGAACCAAATTTGACATACTAGCTTCTAGACTCAATTCGTAAGTGCCAAATTTCATCCCATTTGGGCAAATATTAGACGTTTGGTGCACAATCAAAGGTAAATCGGACGAAGTTATATATGGGAGCTATATCCAAATCTGAACCGATCTCGATAGAATTTAGCAAATGTATTTCTGAGCTGTATTTGATATATTTCACCAAATATTGTTGTTACAGAGTGAATATTACGGCTGGGGAGGACAAAAATAACAAATCGGATGAACAATATATATTGGAGCTATAGCTATATCTGAACCGATTTCGATCAAATTTGGCATACTTATTTTCAGGTTCAATCTGATCGTACTTACCATACTATTCGGACTGATATTACACGTTTGGTGCACAATAAAAGGCAAATCGGACGAAGATATATATGGGAGCTATATCTAAATTTTGACCGATTATCCGACCGAATTTCAATAGGGTTCGTCCTTGGGCCAAACAAATGATTTGTGCAAAATTTCATCTGGATAG